ATAATAATAATAATAAAGAAGAAAAGGAATTCTCTTCTTGGAATTTATGTATAGATCAATCTATAAAATGGTGGTTACGTGATTTCTATCAATTATGTTTATTACCATCCTGTACACGAGTATTACAGTCAATAGCACTGTGTACACCAGAAGAAACCATGTTGCCAGCGATACTTCGTTTACATCATTTTATGGAAACCAACACACCTCTTTGTATGTCCACATCAACAACAATAATAAACATGGATGAAATGAATAATAATAATAATAATAATAATAATAATAATGATAATGATAATAATAAGAGTAGAAGAAGGCTTTGTTTATCTCAATTACTATCATTATCATCATTATCTTCTTCTTCATCTGCATTGCTCGCCTTTGCAGATGGACTCTCTATTGCTGTAGAGGTGATGTCTATGGGTTCACGTATGCAAGAGATATTACTTCAACGTACATCACTTCTCTCAAATACTCCTCCTTCTTTTGGATTTCCCTTTGAAAGTATTATGGAGAATAATAATAATAATAATAATAATAATAATAATAATAATAATAACGATATTGAGGGGGAACAATGGATGTTAAATCACTGTCATTCTTTACTTTCTATTACCGAACATCTCGTCTTGCGGGCACCGTGGACATCTACACAAAGACAAACAACACATTTATTTGATTTTATTCCCGCCCCACCGCCTCTTTTTGAATCTATATATATAAGAGATACGGTATCTACACTATTACGACTGTTGGTATTTCACAATAACGATCCTACAATGAAGAAGAATATACAGAGTGTGTTGTGGCCATTATTACCACAATTACATGCGGTGTTGTTGGGATTATTAAATAGTTTCTCTCGTGCAGTGCAAGCGGCGGTATATCAACGATCTTTATTGAATGAACAACTGCGAAGACTCATTCAAAAACAACAACAACAACAACAATCAAAACAACAACGAGAAGAGATGCAGGGTTCTTCAGGTGTATTAGATATGAATGTATCCTTTTTATTATCCTCTGCAGCCTCTTTATGGACAGCTGTACTCCCATC